ATAGACAATATATAAAGTGGACTTGACTCCCTTTCTCACAAATCATAACACCCAATTCTTCTTCTTTCCTACGCTGCGCACGCAGCTCTCAAAATTGGAAAATACTCACTTCTTCTTCTAAAAAAATCAGAGACTTCTTCTAGATCCTTCTTCGCCTGAATCTCTTTTCCGGTATCATCGTCGACCATGATCTCTGTCGTAATCATCGCCGAGCTGTTGGTGGAGTACACGGCGGCTCTCGCCAAACTCACCGCAGGGCTTCTTCCGAGACGGCAAGGCGAAAGCAACGTCGTACGAATTGGCGGTTTCTCCTTGCCTTGTCCTTCTCCATCGAGTTCTAATCGGATCCCAGATTTCTCTTCTCATCTCGTCGATTTCTGATTTTTTGGTTTCGAATTTTTCCACATCTTCATCGGCTAAGATTTCTCCCCTCGTGTCTCTCTTCTTCGCTCTGGATTAAACTAAATCGCTCGGAGCTTCGTAAATCTTTATCCAAATATAGATCGATTATGATTTTTGATGAATTTTTCAGTTTTTCAATCTTGTTGGTTCGATAATGGTTTGGAATTCGAGACAAGGATGAATATATCTTCATATTTAATGACGTCAAAAAAAGAAAAAAACAGAACAATTTTGTGATCTTCATATTTGATATATATAAAGCCGCCTTTTGACTGTTTTGAGTTCGTTAATTTATCTTCTTACTCTGAATGTTCAACTGTTTTGGTCTATCAATATGATTAAGACATAATAATTTTGCTTTTTACTCTATAGAGGTTTCAGACCGTTGAAATTGAAAAGTATGGGTAGGCAAACACAAACACGGAGAAATGAAACGTTAAGAAACACAAACACGAAACAATTTTTATATATCATAAAAAGAATAATATCAAAACTGAAACCATATTAATCAAAAATAACTGAAGCAACACAAATCTAATACATAAATATTAAATTGTTTAACTAAAAAAAAACACTCAAAGTCAAATATTTTCAAAAAAAAATATTAAAAAGTTTTATACTTAGATTTTAACATTTATTAATAATAACAAATAGTTCCTTAATTTTTCAAAGTATTTGTATTTACATCATTTGTTTTCAAATCAAAAATCGCGTTTCCAAATTAAGAATTTTAAAAAACTCATTTCCATTGCATTTTTATCTTGTATTTGTTTACGAAACGTTTCTGAAACGGGAAACGAACTTTTGTCAGAATTTTCATGCAACTTAGATTGAGACGGAACAGAATTCATAAATGAAAATGAGATAAAAATGATGAAAATAAAATAGTGGAATATGAGATTTTAGACTGGTAGTTTGTGCTAGTATCATCAATATGTCATATCACCATATAAATTCAAATATGCATATTACATGTTACTAATCAAAACGAAAATTCAGGCTTTCAACAATCAAAGAGGTTGAATATTTATGTTTATAAATATATTAACTTTTGTAAAATAATAATCATTTATTGAATTATCTTCTAATCCTCCCAATTTCATCAATATTTTGTTTTTTAGCAAAATTTACAAGTATTGTTTGGGCACGTTGTTATTTGATATTTTTTAACATGTCGAATTATGTAATATTTTACATAATATCTGATTTTTTTACTCAAAAATATTCAAAATACCCGAAAAATAAGAATTTTATAAAATATGAAACAATACATTTAAATTGGTTATTTTTATCTGAATACACTTAAAAATATATGAACTAACCGAATCAATCGAAAAATAACAAAGAATTGTTTTAGAATTTACCCGACCTACCCTAACATACCCAACCTAGAACCAAAATATGTATGTGTGTAATTTATCGGATATTTTGGATACCCGATCGGTTTTCAATTCGGTACTAGATCCGATTCTGGTTCGGTTCCTCGATTCCAAATATTTTGCCCATCACTATTATAAAACAGGAACAAAAGAAATATATCATAAAATATTGAATAATCCATTCATTATAATTTGATTTATTGTAATACAATCATAATTACACATATGCATCATATGAATGATATTAAAAATAAAAAATAAAACGTTTTTTGTCACAATAATATTAACATTAGATGAAATTTTATATGAGTATCATAATGTTTGTTATTCTTTTTGTCAATCAAACTATAAATTAAAAGATGTCACCATAATTGAAAATCCAATTAGGTGGATAGTTACTTACAAAAGAAAATTCAAAACCTCTAGTACGTGTTTAACGGGCTAAACAATCCGATTTTAAATTAAAAGAGCGAGAAATCAAAGACAAAGAGAAGCAACGGAAATGACCATGTAATTCTGTGAACCTATCTGTTAGGATAATATTTATTGTCTTAAAAGAAAACTAGATTGTGACCCACGCCAAGCGTGGGATTAAATATTGAAATATATTTTATAATCGATCTTTATATTTAGATGTGTATTCTAATATTTATAACCATACAAAATGATATGTATTGTGCATAAATATAATAAAATTAAATTTTTACTAAATATATTTCAATGTCAAATACTTTGATCAGTTTTGCATAAAATATTAAAACTAATGCAAATG